TTTTTTTTTTTTAAGATTTTATTTATTTATTTATTTTCCCCCCAAAGCCCCAGTAGATAGTTGTATGTCATAGCTGCACATCCTTCTAGTTGATGTATGTGGGACGCGGCCTCAGCATGGCCGGAAAAGCGGTGCGTCGGTGTGCACCCAGGATCCGAACCCGGGCCGCCAGCAGCGGAGCGCGCGCACTTAACCGCTAAGCCATGGGGCCGGCCCGAAGATGATCTTTTAAAACAGATTAGTCTGTCAGATGGCTTAAAAGGAATGGCAGAATGATGAAGATGGGGCAAGAATCAGCCCAGGGACAGTTGGTCTGAATTGAAACGCCTTCAGATAGTGCAGGTCCAGCCCAGGTCCACCTAACCCCACTGCTCCCTGCTGCCTTACATCCAGCTGACTTCAAACATTTATCTCAACAGGTTGGGCCCTGAAGGCATCTGAGTCAGAAATCCCTGGTCTGGGGATCCTGCCCTCTGCAAACAGGAGCAGCTGTAATCAGAAGCCAGCTAGCCATCCTGGCAGATGATTACAGCCAATGCTTCTCAATAATGGTGCCCTGAAATACTGGTATCTACCAAGCATCTGTTACTATTAATAATTAAAGCAACAAAGTATGTGAAAGCTTTACCTTTTTTGTAGATTTTTTTATTGAGATAAAATTCACATAACATAAAATTAACCACATTAAAGTGAACAATTCAGTAGTACTTACTACATTCACAATGTTGTACAACCACCACCTCTATCTAGTTTCAAAATATTTTCATCATCCCTATAAGGAAATCCAGTACCCACTAAGCAATTATTCCTCATTCTCCCCTCCTCCCAGCCCCTGCTAACCACCAATCTGCTTTCTATCTCTGTCACTTGACCTATTCTGGATAGTTCATATAAATGGAATCATACAATGAGACACATCTGGTTCTTTTACTTAGCACAGTGTTTTCAAGGTTCATCCACATTATAGCTTGTACCAGTACTTCATTCCTTTTTATGGCTGAATAATATTCCATTGTATGTATATACTACAATCTGTTTACCCATCTGTCCATTGAAAGACATTTGGGGGGCCGGCCCGGTGGCGCAAGTGGTTAAGTGTGCGTGCTTCGCTGCGGCGGCTGCCGGTTCGGATCCCGGGCGTGCACCAACGCACTGCTTGGCAAGCCATGCTGTGGTGGCGTCCCATATAAAGTAGAGGAAGATGGGCACGGATGTTAGCCCAGGGCCGGTCTTCCTCAGCAAAAAAAGCCGAGGATTGGCAGATGTTAGCACAGGGCTGATCTCCTCACAAAAAGAAAAAAAAAAAAAAAAGAGAGTTTATAATTACTTTAGGGCCGGCCCCGTGGCTTAACGGTTAAGTGCTTGTGCTCCGCTGCTGGTGACCAGGGTTCGGATCCCGGGCGTGCACCGACGCACCGCTTCTCCGGCCATGCTGAGGCCATGTCCCACATACAGCAACTAGAAGGATGTGCAGCTATGACATACAACTATCTACTGGGGCTTTGGGTGAAAAAAAAATAAATAAAATCTTTAAAAAAAAACAGACAGACATTTGGGTTGTTTCCACCTTTTGATTATTGTGAATAGTGATGCTATGAACACGTGTGTACATATACTTGTTTGAGTACCTGTTTTCAATTCTTTTGGGTGTACACCTAGGAGTGGAATAGCTAGCTTATATGGTAATTCTATGTTTAACTTTTTGAGGAATTGCCAAACTGTTTTCCACAGCAGCTGAACCATTTTACATTCCCATTAGCAGTGTATGAGGGTTCGAATTTCTCCATATACTCGCCACACTTATTTTCCTTTTTCTTCTTTTTATTATAGCCATCGTAGTGGATGTGAAATGGTATCTCATTGTGGTTTTGATTTGCATTTCCCTCATGACTAATGATGCTGAGCATCTTTTTGTGTGCTTGTTGGCCATTTGTATATCTTCTGTGGATAAACGGCTATTTGTTGTTTGCCTTTTTGTTATTGAGCTATCAGAGTTCTTTATATATCCTGAATACTAGACCCTTATCAAATATATGATTTGCAAATATTTTTTCCCTTTCTGTGGGCAGTCTTTTTACTTACTTGATAATGTCCTTTGACGCACAAAAGTTCTTAATTTAGATGAGGTCCGCTTTATCTAATTTTTCTTTTGTTGCTCATGCTTTTGGTGTAATATCAAAGAATCCATTGCCAAGTCCAAGTTCATGAAGATTTACCTCTGTTTTCTTCGAGTTCTATGGTTTTAGCTCTTATATTTAGGTCCCTGATCCATTCTTAGTTAATTTTTGCATATCATATGAGATAGGGGTCCATCATCATTCTTTTGCATGTGGATATCCAATTGTCCCAGCACCCTTTGTTAAAGAGGAAAGCTTGACTTTTTAAAACAGAGTGGAGCACAGTTCTCTCCCAACATGGTTTCCCGGGTAGGAAAGAAAGGTTACAGTCATAGCAGCTTACTTATCTGTACCACTGCAGTGAGCCCATTCTAAGCTTCGACCATTGACCAACAGCTGCAGCAAAAGCAATAGGGAATTATTGTGCTTTACTTCCTGGAAAACTTAAGAATGTTTTATCAAAATCTGGTGAAGTCCCTGAAAGCGTATTGTGTAAACCTCACTTCTCATGTGTAGGGCAGTGGAACAAATGCTGAGAACAACCAACAAGTCCGGATAGGAGGAACAGAGAGGAAAAGATGCATTTGAACTATTAATCTAGTGATTAACCAGAAACAGGGGCTGATGGAGGAGGCAGAGGTCTCCAGCCTTACAGACACGGGTAACGAGTAGAACGGTGGCGCCCCAGATTGAGAAGTTGAGAGACAAAGCCCATTTGAGAAAGCCAAGTTCAGTTTGGGACATAATGGGGTTTAGGGTGACACTAAGTTTAGGCTTGAGAATTTCCATGTGACTCCGGATAAGTTTCATGAACTCTGCACCTCTATTCCCGTGTCTGTAAAATGAGGATAAAGATTAATAGAGATTAATAAAGATGATATAGTAATGAAGCACCTAGCAGAGAGCCCGGCACATAAATAGGCACTCGGGACACCACACCTATTATTATTACTAAGTGTCTTGTACGTAAGTGGAAACCATGGACTCAGCACTCAAGGTATCGAGGAGGGAAGCCTGGCAGTCCCTGACACATAATAACCATGCAATAAATTTTGGCTGTATAAATAAATGGAATGGTTGATTAATTAACAATGACAGCTACCCATTATTGATCACTTACTACGTAGTGACATGATGCTCTTTACATGATATATGTAAAGAGCTTTACATACATCAACTTAGTTAATCCTTAAATCAACCCTATGAAGTAGGCATAATTATTTTCTCCACGCTGAGACAAACACAGAAAGGTTAAGTTAGCGAGGGACGGAGATGGGATGTGAAGCCAGATCTTTCTTTGCATGCTGTGCCATCCAGAGGACAGAAAGGAATCCTATGCATCTTTAAGGCTAAATTTCAATTTCTGCCTGATCCCTAAAACTGTGATTCATTAACTAGCCTTCACTGCTCTTCCTTTTCCTGAGTTATTCCTTCAGCACTCAAATCCAATACCATAAAATTTTATATACTTCTTTTAATCATTCCCAACCACTGTATGAATGTGTGCTTCTTCACTTCCTCTGTGATGTGACAGAATAGGACTCCTAGAGGGCAAAAACCACATTCTCTTTCTTCTGGAACCCACGCTGTGCCCCTTCCAGGAACCAAGCAGAGGACCAGGCTCTCTGAAGGAAGTGACCCCTCGCTGGTCACTTCTTTCACTGAAGGAGTATCTGTGCATCTTCTCAGACCATTCACTTCCCCATCCGATTGTTGCCGAGTGCTGGGGAGCATCCTCCCCAATGCTATCCATCCCTGAGGCACTCAGGGGGGCCGGCAGGATAATGGACTGGAGAAGGAGGAACACCTCAGCCAGGGTTCACTAGTGACTAACACACCCAGCTGGTGCCAGGTGGGGTGGGAGGACGCAAGGAAAGACAAGCCGGAGACTCTGCCCTTAAGGGCCTTCCAGGTGCTCTATGGAAAAATACTCGACAAGATGGAACATCAGGTCAAGACAAAGCGTGCATCAATAGGGCCCACATTTTGCTACAATCAATAAGATAATCACAGTTTTCTATACCTCAGTAACCCAAGGACATTATTCTTGATTATTTCCAGATCAGGACACCACCTATATACCATTTATTTAATGTGTTTCTTGAAATTGACTTTTAAAAAATTACTTGAAGAAATTTTATATCATTATTATAAATGCAAAAAACAGATATTCTTCTAATACTAGGTACTAACTCGTACAAATAAATAAAATGAAAACAAAAATAAATGTTATTACATTTCCATAGATCCTGCTACTGGTCAAAGTCAGAACCTAAGGCCTGCTGTCTCTGTTAAAAAGGAAAGATGAGAGGTGTACAGAGGAATAAAGGCAGACCAGCACCAAAATGAATCTTGATCCACCATGAATATGAAGAGGTTGAATGACTTTCCATGAGATTCAATGGTACTGAATACAGATCACCTAAAGGGCCTCAAGGTCTTCCCCTGCTAGGAAATCAGAAGGAGAAATGGGGGGCCGGCCCAGTGGCGCAAGCGGTTAAGTGTGCATGCTCCGCTACAGCGGCCCGGGGTTCGCCGGTTCGGATACCGGGCGTGCACAGACGCACCGCTTGGCAAGCCATGCTGTGGCGGAGTCCCATATAAAGTGGAGGAAGATGGGCATGGATGTTAGCCCAGGGCCAGTCTTCCTCAGCAAAAAAGAGGAGGATTGGCAAATGTTAGCTCAGGGCTGATCTTCCTC